GACCACGAATATGGTTTTTGTTGTGAATGCGATGCAACGAGGAAAAATTTTAACAAAAAACGACAGCTTCTCATCATCATCATCATCATCATCGTCATCTTCAGCCGCAGCAGTGGCAGCGGCAGTAGCCCATTCTGTTGGCCTTTAGAGTAGAACTATTGTTTTATTAGTCTGACTGACTGACTGACTGACTGGCTGACTAATCAGTGACTGACTTCTTCTGGAGAAATATTACCCATGGGAGACAACCGATGAGGTCTTTATCGCTATCATCATCATCGGCCACTTACTCCACTCTTCCTCACCCCCTACTTCCCTAAACAATCATCATCGTCGTCATCATCATCACCATCAACAAACGGTTGACCAAGATTTTTTGTTGTCATTGATGCTGTGCTACTGCTGTCGCTGTTTTTACGACAGTCGTTATCGATAGCTATTACTAACAGCGCAAAATCCGGTAGATCCCATTGGATTTTGAGCTGTTACTAAATTTCACATAGAAATTTTTAGCACCAGCACTTTCCTACTTTGAATTGCTCTATCGCTGACGGCGCATTGATCATTAGATGTCAATAGGTGAATAAAAAAAAGGAGAAACAGGAGAGAAGAAAGACGTAAAGCCATTTTCTCCGTAATTTTTTTCTTCAAAATTTAGTAAACTTCTTTAGAAATTGCAGTAAAAAATTGCCCCTTTTTCATGTTCTTTTTACTCGTAACCAAAAAAAAAAGCCATGAAATTTTACAAAAAAATATTTCATTTATCATTTACCACATTACCAAAAAAAAGTGGAAGGAGGAAAAAAATTATAAACGCGAACGGCTAGAAAAAAAATAAAAGAATCTGCTTCTATTCCTTTTCTTCCAAAATAAAATTCAATTGAAAACAATAAGAAATAAAATATTTTTACTTTCAAATATTTTGCTGCAAAAAAAAAAGCTTTTTTCTGGTTTTCTTCGCAAGCAACATAACATTAATTTTTTTCCCTTTTCTCTTTCTAAACCAAATTCCACATTTCCGCAACCCTCATCTCCCTCATTTCTCCTGTAATTTTGACCATTTGAAAGCGGTAGAATTTAACTGCAGAAAAGTTTTTTTCCTTTTGCGAAAAAAAATTGCTTATTGTTGAAATCTTCAAAGAAGGCACATTAACTTTCAACTTTTAAGCGGCCATCATAGCACTTTTTCATTTGCCTAAGCACTCTAATGACACTGTATTATTGTGTAAGTGAAAGAAAGTGATCAACGACTGACGACGACTACGCTGTAGACACAGCAGCAGAAAAGATGAAAGAGAGTGAAGGAAGGGCTGAATAGGGAAACGCTTAACCACTTAGCCCAGAAAAACTTTGCTTTTTTTCTTCGTGCTTAATTTTTTAAGCCTAATTTTTTTCCATTTAATTTTCTTTTATTCATTGCCGACAATAGTTGGAAAAAACTTGAAAACTTCAAAAAAAAAATTTTTTTTTCTTTAGAATTGCTTTTCGGTTCAAAAAGACAGCTGACAACAACAATACACAAACAGACAACAAATAATTTGATGCTCTTGTATCATTGCCAAACAGTTTATCTTGTGATATATGCTAACACACCGATGATGGCGATACTTTATCCCACATTTGGCGCTACTAAAAGTCTATTAGCCTCCCTCCGCTTAAGCCAAGTTGGTGTTTTCAACAGCCCCATATTTATTTACGGCGGCGGCTAACTTATAGCACGATAGTTGCCCACATTTGACAACTAACCAACCAACCAATCCCTCCTCTTCGCCCTTTGCCCTTCTATCCTCCCTCATCTCGTAGTTTAGCCTGAAGGCAGAAATACAAATGATATTTTTTATGGCCTTAAAAATTGGAAAAAATTTCCACCTACTTATGTACTATAGACAATAAACAACTTCAACAGCAACAACAACGAACAAACAATTATACGTCCCCTCCTCCCTCCCCCCCACCAAAAAAAAAAAAAAAAACAAATGACGGGGAGAAGGAATAAAAAACGAAATTTATTTACGAAAAAAAAAAAAAAACAAAAAAATTTAAAAAATAAGGAAATTTTTGATTTTGAAGAAAAAGATTTTGGTCGTTTCCATTGCTGCTGTTGTCGGGCTTTTTTTTTCTTTTATTTTGTCTTCAATATCATTGCCAGTTTTTCTTTTTCTTTCCTTCCTTTTTTCTTGATTGATATTATTAAAATTTTTTTAAGCACCAATAATTTTTGCTGCTTTTTCTTTTATTTTAGTCAGTCTTTTTCTTTTTCAATTTTTTTTCTTGCATTTGGTTGGTGCCAATCACCGATATGTTACAGTTGTTGTTGGATTGCCGTTTTTTGCCGTTGTTTATTATACGGTAGTTGTATACTGCAGAAAAACAAGTGTTTTTTGTGGCAGCAACAGCCAAAGCAGCAGTAGCAGTAACAGCAACAGCATCGCCATCACAACCACTACCAATATCTCCATCAAAACCACAAATGATATTATTTGGCCTAATAATCTGTTCCCTTTCTAGTTTCAAAAAATTAAAAATTAGCAGTAAGTTCTCTGTTTTATGTGCTAAGGAGTAACTGGGTATATAGAAAAAAATAAATAAATAACAGATAAAACAAAAATTAGAACTAACATTATGAAGCTTATGGTATAAGCCGCATGCATTGCAAACCGGTTGTCCAGCAGCGTTTCGCCTCCATAGTGTTGTGGAGTTGGTTTTACAGTTTACACATTCAATTCCCGTTCGTTTTTGAGCGCTCTATAACAAGTGAAAAAAAAAGTAAAACCGAAAGACCATACAAAACACATAGCTGTGTCTTCATAAACTGAAATATAATTTTGCAAAACGTAGAAAAAAAATAGAAGTGAAAAATTAAAGGTAAAAATTAGATCAGGTAAAAAATTTAACAGCATATTAAAAGCAGAAAGAAGACAAAAAATATTGTGCTGCTATTTCGCACCTCTCATCATTGAAAGGCAAATTACTATAGAACAGCAGAAAAATTGATTGATCATAATTTGGGTACTGTAAGTAACAAAGAAAAGTAAGAAAAAACAAGACGAAAAATCCGTTCAGAATTTTCTTTGCTTACTTTCTTCTTCGTTCTCTATTTTTTCCCAGTTTTTTATTATTTCAATTTTTTATTATTTTAACAATCTTCTATTTGTTAGTTCCGATTTTTTGCGTATGTTTTAACAGAGGAACAAATTTTGTTGCTTCCTCTTTTGCTGTACACCTTTTTTTCAAAGTGGTCCAACAAGAGAAAGAGGGGAAAAAAAAA